GCAGACCTGTACTCACGTAATTAACGTTACGCATTTAACGAACACTTACAAGCGCGCACTTTGGCAGAATTCAATTCAAATAGTCATCAGCAGCCATTAGTTCGGTAACATTGAGCATCAGAATGGATACATTTGTTATTAAGGGAGAAAAACGAAATGTGGAAAATGCCAGCGAAGGAACACATACAAACAAGAGTAGTCGCAGCAGTGAGAGTGCTGGACTTTCGGCATCAACTTTCGGTTTGCCCCGCCACTCACTTGAAGATGTTCAGGCTAGAGCCCTGCACGGACCTCAAATACATGACGTTCAGGCCCTAGCCCGGCCCACAACTTATCAGAATTACCGGCCCGAGCCCGACCAGAGCCCGTCCCGAGCCCGTCTTTTGTTCCCCTTCTCCCAAAAACAGCTTATACTACTGTTATAGCTATTAAAATAGTTCAGTTTTGTATGTAATGGCAAAGTGGTTATATTTAGTTTCGTTTTTTTATTAAGTTAATTTAGAAAAACGTTTGGACCGTTAAATAAAACCAAGACCGTTGGGTTTGGTCATTAAATATAAGTTTTTGTTTTTAAAGTAACGACCAAGTGGTCAGCAGCAGACAGTGAGCTGATCATAGCCTATGTTTGATCAATTTAGCCTTCATGCGATATATCCAATAGTTTGTGCGGAGAGTAGAAGCTAATGCGCGCTTTGCAGGACATGGAGGCGCCAGCGCAATCACTTGCAATTTTCAGTGGATACGCCGCCATTTTTACTCATAAAGGTAAGAGTAATACATCATTCGTAAATGTAAAGGGTATTTTATTTGTGTGCACTCACAATATCAACAAAACGTTGTGCTTTTATAAAATAAAGAAAACAAACATGATGCGCTTTCTGCCGTCTCGTCTTGAACAGGAGCGCTTCACAAAAATGAACCGAAACTCAGCGAATACATGCCTCACAGACATGATAAATATATCTATAGAAAGCTTTAAATTACTACTTAACAAAATAAAACAAATCAAAAACGAAAACTCTTTCATTATAATCATAATACATTATATACTATTATATATATATATATACATTAATACATACTGCTGCTTCGGGACACTAAACACCGTCCAGCCGCTCTTGACAGTCACGGCAGCACGGTCTCGTGTTGTTTCCACCAGCGCTGCAAAATGTTTTTTTTTCATCACTAATTGAGGGATGTCTAAAATATAAAAATAAGGAGAAGCCTAAAACAAGCCCGATGCCGGACCCGCGTCTTAACTATGACGTGATTGTACAGCAGTCATTCTAAATTAATTTTTTTACGTAGAATATGTGTTACATAAATACATGAAATGTAGAATGTAGAACTTCTACATACAAAACAATTTTTACATTCCCCCCCACGCATAAAAGTGAAACTCCGCCTATGATTGTGCTGTTACTCCTTTCGAGCCGAAGTTCACAAAATTGGGTGTTATTTATGGGGAGTAGAATTATTTATTTATTTCAATGAATGTAATCGATTAGATATCATAATATTTAGGCTATAATAATATAAATCAGGTTGGTTTGTACTGCTGACATATGTAAATGATATGCGTGCGGCCCGCGAGACTTGCACTTGGACCATAGTGCGGCCCGGTAGAAAAAAAGGTTGAAAACCACTGGGCTAAGGGGTAGAATTGGGATTGGGCCTTAGTGTGCTAAATCTCAAACTCTTTCTTTCTCTCAGCCTCTCTTTGCTTGAACTCAGAATCTAGAGGGTACGTTCTGTGATCTGAAAAAGAATTGCTTGGTTTCTCCACTGATAATTTGTGTTATGAGACATGCAGAATCTGAGCTGAACTGAGGCTGATCTGACAGGTCTCTGTGGACCAAGGTGTATAGATCAGTTTCAGGTGAAAATGTCACAGAACATTGCTCTGTTTTTTCTCATTAGGGTCTCATTCACTATCTGTGCTCATGTATAAATTGGGTTGCATAGAAATTTGGGAGGGGGGGGGGGGGGGATGCAATGTTCAGAATGTTCAGAATGTTAAAATATTCAAAATT